ATAGACCCAAAGATAAAAAGGTAGTTGATTGCAAATTGATTTTCAAAATTAAAGAAGGAGACTCTAAAACAGAAAATAGAAGATATAAGGCGAGATTAGTGGCAAAATGTTTCACACAAAAGGAAATAGTAGACTTTAATGAGATTTTTTCACCAGTTGCCAAATACACTTCAATCAGAATTTTATTGGCTTTAACTACCCACTTTGATTGGGAACCGGAACAACTTGATGTCAAAATAGCCTTCTTTATAGTGACCTTGATGAAATTATATACATGAATCAACCTGAGGGCTATGAAGTTGAATCTAAGATAGGAAATATTTGTTTGCTGAAGAATTCTCTTTATGGGCTAAAACAGGCCCCTAGACAGTGGTATATAAAATTCAACTCTTATGTTCAGACTTTGGGCTTTGAAAAAAGCAATTATGACTCCTGTCTGTTTTTCAAATGGTGAGGTGGACTCGAATCCATTTATTTGTTATTGTATGTGGATGATATGTTACTTGCTTGTCATGATAAATCTGAAATTGAACCTGTTAAGATGAAATTAAAGTTTGAATTTGAAATGAAAGACCTAGGTCCAGTTAGTAGAATTCTTGGCATGGAAATTGTAAGAGATAGGTCCAGTTGCACTCTTACTTTAAAACAGTCTGCTTATATAAAGAAAATACTTGAAAAATTTTCTATGACTGAATGCAAGCCTGTATCATTGCCTATTACTAATCATTTTAAACTCTCTAGTGATCAATCACCTAAATCAGATGATAAATTAAAAAGAATGGAGAAGGTGCCTTATGCTAGTGCTGTAGGATCCATCATGTATCTCATGATTTGTACCAGACCTGACTTAGCTCATGAAATTAGTATTTTAAGTAGGTTTATGGCAAATCCTAGGGAAACACAATGGTTATCAATAAAGTGGATGTTTAGGTACTTGAAAGGTTCAATTGACCCAGGATTAAAGTTTAAAAGAACTAATGAAGGTATAATCTTAAAGGATTATACTGATTCAGACTTTGCTGGTGATCTTGATAGGAGAAGATCCTCTTACATTTTTACTTTGTTTAATAGTTGCATTAGTTGGAAATCTCAACTGCAAAAATTGGTTGCATTGTCCTCTACAGAGACCAAGTACATTGCTGCATGTGATGCTGTGAAAGAAAGCAATTGGTTAAGAGGATTGTTAAATGAAATTGGTTTTGTTAATGAATTTGTTAGTATTCATACTGATAACTAAAGTGTCATTCATTTAAGTAAAAATCCAGTTTATCATGACAGAACAAAGTATGTTGACATAAAATTTCATTTTGTAAGAAATATGGTTGAATAGGGTGTGATCAGACTTGTTAAAATCCCTACAGAATTTAATCCTTCTGATTTAAGAACTAAAATTCTGACACTTAGTAAATTTACAAATTGTTTGAAAATTCTGAACATTACCTAAAAGACTGATCAGGTGATATTCAGAAGTTCATTTGTTGAAAACCAAACTAACTTTAAATTTTTCTGTTTACAGGTTCTTAGAGCTAAAGTAAAACTTGAATCCACTAGTTGAAACAAAGAAATAGTTCAGCAAGGTAGAGATTGTTAAAGAAATGGGCTGCCTCACTATTTCTTTATTGGGCCTTATTACTTAAAATTGTCGGAGGCCCAGTTCTTTAACAATGTCGCGTTTTAGAAGAACGCTTTTCTCGCACCTCTTATGGAAGAGTGTGCCGTACACGTGGCACACTCTCAACCATTAGATGAAGTCAGTTCAGTAATCGTGTTTTCATATACTTCACTTGACCCTTGGTTTTTCGTCTTTCTAGGTTTTACACTGATTTTCTAGAATACTCTTTTCTCTCTCTCTCTCTCTCTGTGTGCAAGGGTTTTCTTCGTAATCTTTTCTCTCTGAAAAATGAAAAAAAAATCTTTGTGATGTAATCTTTTCTTCTATTTGAAAGGGAAGAATTAGTGATTTGTTTGATCGTTTGAGATGAATTTTGTAATAGAAAAGAGGCTAGATAATCGAAGAAATCTCTGATTTCTTCGAACATTTGTACGATTTCTTTGTGAAACTTAGTGAATCTTGAGCATACTCTTGATTGAGGCTCAACGGGCGATTAAGTTTTTCTGGATTGAACATCCGGGCTCCTTTTGGAGCAACAAAATATCTGGTGTTCTATTTTTACAGTTTTTTCAATTTTCTGCGATTTTGATTCGTAAATCCTTAAGAAAATATGAGTTCATTATATCTCTGGGACTAACAGAGTTTTTGGCTATGCATTCAAACTTGAATAATGCTTATCTAGTAGCCGATTCTTTTTCGAAAGCTATCACATTTTGATTCTGCAGTTAATGGAGAAAATCCATCATAAGTTGTACTCAATGTCACATCAGAGCACCGTAAAAAGGCAGCTTTGCCACGCGTTTTATGCAACGTGGTTTAACCACAAGTGTACGGTGTCAAGTTTTGTAATAAAGTATTGAAGTAAGAGTGTCGAACCCACAGGGATTCTATTTAATTTTCACTAAGTACTATAATTATGCAATTTCTACTTTATTTAGATGAATGTATGATTGAATTGATATTTTATGAATGAACGATTTAAACTAAACTAACGTGATTGGATGTGACAAATTTGGGGAATACAAATTATTAGATGAGAAGGGTTAGGGATTGATTTCACCTAACTTTCAATTATGATTCAACGAATTCAAATTATTCCGATTAATTTTCCCATATTTAAAAGCAAGAATCCTAATGTATTTCTAACCCCCTCTCTCGAGCACCGATTAGGAATTAACCTTAGATCCCAATTCTAACATCTCTGTTCAAAATTGAAAATCAAGAATTTAATAAAGATTCGATTCTTTTATGGAGTAAGCTTCACAGATTTATACTTTCTCTCGAAACCTATAAATTCTATGTTGTATCACTCTTATGATCACGCCTAAATTCCCACTCTCTCGAGCGTCGGAATTGACTAGCATGAAATCATCCAATTGTTAATCAGGCAATTAAAAGCATTAAAATCATGATACAATTAAATATATGCGGAAAAATCAAAGAAATAATTATAAAATCATCAATCCATAATCTTGATTCGGCTACATCAATCCCCTAGATAAATTGTTTAATTCATGGTGTAATAAATGAAAAATCATACAAATTACAATAAATAACATAAGGAAAATGATAGAAAAAACTAGTCTTTTGGGTAGATCTTCAATCTTTTTCCTTGATATTGTTCCTCCTTCCTTTTGATGTCTTCAATTTTTGCCTCATTCAAATTGTGTGATTGAATTCTTCAATCTTACCCCCTTCCATCCTCTTGAAAATAGGGTTTTTGAATGGTATTTATAGTATGTTGGGGGGTCTTAGGCGAAATAGGGTTGAATTGGGCTAAGAAAAGAGTCGAAAAACATAAAAACGCGTCTTCCCGCATATTCGGCGCCTCGACGGCAAATATGGGCACTGTGGCGCCACCTGTTCTGTTAATTTCAGTCATATGGGCGCCGCGGCACTCGGATTGGCCGAAAATGCAGACTGCGCATCTTTGAGTATTTTTAGCATAACTTTTGCATCAGATATCAATTGAGATGATTCAAGATTCATTGGAAAGGTAACTCAAAAGGCTACAACTTTGCTTCAGGCATCATTCGTCAACTTGATCGTTTGGTATGTCAAAAACGGGTCTCAATGTAAGGCTAAAACTTCGGAGCATAACTTGTCGGTTGGAAATTGATTTGTGATCATATTTTGACCATATTTGATCCCTTTGACATCTTTTTTCATCCAATTGACTCCTAGTACTTTCGAATCTTTATTGCGAGGTTCAACACAATTTTTCAATATTTTCACTTTAGTCCCCGAACTTTGGATCTCTTACCATTTGGCCATTTTCTCAAATTTCGCCAACTTTTGCTTATTTCTTTCAATTTCATCAACCTACATCACAACATCAAAACACACATTAAAAAGTGCTAAAACACTCTCAAGATTAGCAAAATAACAAATTAGGTGGCATAAAAATCATGAGTGTAGAGCACTCATCAAGCTTCTTGGGTCAATGCTGCATTGGCTACCAATTTGTCATCCCTCACAGTATACAGCAAACGAGGATCCTCAAATTCAGTCGCAACATCAACTCTGGCTCCAAACCCGAAGACAAACCCTGTTCATAACCCCCTATTAGTCCTTGAAAACTCAATTGAACGAAAAAGAAGATGATATACCAACTACTTGCAAAGCTTGGTTCCGTGATATCTTATATATCACTAGGCAAATGTCCAGCAGAAACATGTAGCTCGCTAAACCTCCAAGGGTCAAAGAGCTCGTGAATTATAGTTGATGTACATATAAACCTACAGGGGCGTTGAGGCAGGCATTGAGCAGAAACAATTGACGGAAGGCTGGCATTCAGTAAAGTTGGAAGATTTGTTTTTCTCCACCTCGGGTTCGTTAACATTCTCCATGAAAAATCAAAAATCTAAAATTCGCCTGAAAAATTGTTTGGAGCAACATGATTCTTCAATTGTGTGAACTTGGAAATCTGAATGTTAGTCAACTCTGCTGTGTATTCCATGTCTTTCTTCCGTATTGGGCTGGCACATTCCAAGTTTAATGTGTGTCAAGCTATGCACATCAAGTTAAAATTACGCTCAATACATACAAGGACGAGCAGGGTAAAACGTGTAATTCTTGCTTAAAACTTTAAGAATTCCATCTATAGTCAGCTCGAGCATGCGTTGGATTCATTATAGTAGAAAACATCCATCAAGTCGCGTGATTTGCTATATGAAATTTTACTGCTGCCTATCTCATGCTACTCTTCTTTCTGATCGGTTTCTTGTATCAATCAATCAAGATTCACCGTTAAGATCAAGAGAAGAAAGAACCCTTTTTAAGTTAGGTTAGTCCCATCATTCACACAACTATCTCGCATCGAATCAGTGCAAAGCGACGGATCCTCAATCAAAATTTCTATCTATTCATCCCTTCCTTGAGTCCTTAATAAGCGGAAACTCTTTTTTGACCATTACACAGTCAAATATTATAAGAAAAATATCATTACACTCCTTGATTCAAATAAAAAGAAACGAAAAGTAAAACAGAAAAGCGAAGGGAAGGAAAAGGTTAATCCCAACACCATTAAACAGGCAATAAACCAATACAGGATGAGTTCAACAATTGCATTTAACCGTCTCAAGTCTCAAAGATAGAATTTTCCACGTCCTTACTAGAAAATAAAAATTCAAGCTACATTCTTGGAGTGCAGAAATGAAAACTGTAATTTGTGCATTATTTCAATTTCTTCTGGCAATCCCCCCTGCTGAAGACCTGGCTTCGTCTCCAGCTGGCTTTTTGGGGCACAAGAAATTCTTGATAATGGAGAAATGGAAGTCAAAATCTGCTTCATACTTTGCGCAGGTTGCATCTATCCATTTTTCTGATACACTGGTAGTTCCACCTTCCTGACTGTCCCACTTGCCTTCTTCAATGGCAGGACGTATTTCATCATACAAGGAATTTAGATCGGCTGTGGCTTTATTTTTTATTTCCTGCACAATTATACGTGCAATGAGCATTAAAAAAAAATGGAAAATATTATTCTACATCAGGTGGCAATGCATGTTTGACAAAGCTTAAATTATAATATAAGCTGATCAAACAATTTTTTTATCAACACATTTCTTAGGATCCGTAATTTATCATCAATTTTAAACACTCCCAAACATGATACTCATCACTGCTGTGGAAAATTGGATGCATGGAAATACAAACTAAGGAGAAGAATAAAGAGATAATTATGCAAGTGGTTTTTCACCAGAAGGAATACGTAGAAAAAACAGTTCGCACCTCATATTCGGCTACTTCGGCCTGTGCTTCCTTTGATACTAATAGTTTAGTAACAGATTTGTCTCTGACTTGCTTCCTACCAGAAACTTTTGCCTTTCCCTTGGAAGTATGCTGTGATTTTTTCGTTGAAGTTGAACCCGTGCCAATGTTAAAATTCAGTGAAAAAGCTTTTGCTGTGTCTTCTAAAACTTGTTTTGCTGCCTCGAAGCTTTTAGCATCCACTGAATTTGCTGCCACAGGAAGTACAGAACTCGATCTCTTACTACTACCAATCTCCAATTTGTTTTCAGATCCCTCCGTACCACCCATCATCATTGAATGATCATCCTCATCAGAGCCATAGAGTGGAATATTTTCAGCCATATATCTGCTATGCAGAAACCAATTTATGCTCAACAAACACGGACAATCTATAAACTCTGTAACTGAAATGCATATAGGGTGCCATGCCCGGAGGTTTGGCATCGGGCTCCAACCCGACGCGGTAGTGTTGCATAAAAAAATCGCAAAATCGCAAGTCGAATCGAAATCGTTGAGTTGAAATCGTTGGTTCGGGTTTACGTGGACCTGTGATTTCTTTTCCCTCAAACTGAACCAAACTGTTTTAAAATTGTTTGATTTAAGTTTTGATTTTCAAAAATCGCACAAAATCGAATCGAACTGAACCGTTTTAAATTTTTTTAATTAAAACATTAATTTTATTAACTTAAAATTTTTACAGTTTTCACTTTTCAAAAAAATAATAATTTAGCAATACAAATTACAACCAGCTTGTTGAAATAATCATAGAAAGTAAATTAGGTTCATCATTATTGACCTATGATTTAACAGGTTCGCAACACGTTCTCACCCAATATCTAAACTAGACTAAAATTATTTCAGAATCATATGAAATGAAAAAAATATATATTTTCAACAATCCAAATCACAATTCAACAAAACTACGTCAGCAAATCACGTCCAAAGTTTCAGAAGCCCTAATATAAACTCTCATTTTCTTAACATTTGACGCTTGTCTGCCATTGCTGAACGAATCGCCAATCGCCTTTACATGTTAATCTACTAATCTCTACATGAATAGTCTCTTTCTCTCTTCTCTTTCGGTAAGTCTTAGATTCTTATTCAAGTCATTTTTTCATTATTTTTTCTTTTATTTGTTTTTTTTGAACTTATTATACACTTTTTAGTTGTGGTTTGAATAGAAAAATAATTGTTTGTGTGCCTAGATGATTAATGAACTTGTTCATGATTTGAAAAAAACGAAGGACGGAGTGTATTGATTGTGGGAAATGTTAAAGTTCTCTAACTAGTGCTACTGCCTTCTACTTTCATAAAGTAGTTAGAGGATTAAATTCATTAATTCCCAATAAGCCGAAATTCTATCAATCTTTGTATATCTAAACATATCATGCTCAATCCTTATTTAACATCTCACCAGCAAGACGAAAGGAGTTATAACCAAACTATAATAACAAAATGTAACTCTACTTTTACCAATCATTATATGACAATATGAATGTTAAACAAAAAAATAAAAATAAAAATGAAGAAACATGTATTTGTTCTATTAACTTCTTTAGCAACAAACTTTGAAAATAATTTATTTATGGATTTCATGGTAAATATGAATATAATTTAACATTTAATATTATTAGTTCTCATTTAAATTTATATTTAACTTATGTTAAATATATTACTATAATGTCGAAAGGTAAACCGCGGATTAAAATCGAACCAAACCGCAAATTATGGTTTGGTTTTGTTTAGTTCGAAAAATAAAACAGTTTGGTTTGGTTTGAAAAAATTTCAAAAAGCGTAAAATGGTTTGAGTTGAAAATATAACACAAATCGCCCAAATCAAACCGCGTTCACCCTACAATGCGGTGGTCTACTTCCCTCCTAGGTGAAAGTTTCTTTGATAACTCCGCAGGCATAATGTCCTTATTTTCCTCGAGGACTTTTGCAATAGCTGCCAGCAAGACATCATCATTACTAGAGGCTTTGGCCACAACAGACAATTGAGCAATAAATGTCGGCTCACCCTTCTTCCATCTTTTCGCTCATTGCATAGCCAAAAGTTGTCCCGCTTGCGTTCCCATGAAAATGGTAGGAATCATGCATGACGATCCCTTCTCCAAAATGCACATAGAACCAAAGGAAGGTATAGGAATTGCATTAACCTTCCTCAAGAAATCCAAGCCCAACACTAACTTGAAATCATCCATCGATGCAACGAAAATATCAACGGGTCCATGCCACGAACCCAACCATAGTTCAGCCTCTCAAACTACACCAGCTAATGACCTTGCAGTTGCATTCACCGTCTTCAACAATCCACCTCCATGGTGAACGTTCAATCCTCACCACTGCGCTTCGTGATGAAGGTGTGTGTGGCTCCGGTATCAACTAATGCCCGTGTTTACCGTCCATTGATTTCGTCCATACATATCTTACGCTCACTAAATTCTTAAACTCCTTGAATTCTAGTTCGCACAACACTATCACAGCTGTGACAGTACCCTCCCCCCCTCCCCCCCAATAATAAACTAAAAGTAATCTTTAACTTCTTATCCTTCTAACCTTATCTATCCGAAAATTGAGCCTATAATTCCATTGGAACCTCAATTGGTACCCCTAATGTTGATGTATCAAATGTTTAACAAATCGGTAAGACTTTCAAATATACAAAAACGAATTAATTTTAACCGGAATTTTCTATCATAAGCATAGCCATGGTTTGAGCTAAAATGTCCAGCAAATTAACTTTCTCCCTTCTTAACAGCAACATAGAAGTAAAATTTACCTGTCATCACCATCTTCCCATACATGGCTATACTCCTGTGGCACAACATATGGCAACAAACAGATGTTAAGCAACTCAATCAAACTCAGATAGGCCAAAGTTTGGCCATCAAAGAGAGAGTATGAAATGAACTGAAAAGAAAGAGATTAATTGAAATAGATGCCAGTTTTTAGATGGGGATGTCCAAGTAGGGGAATAAAAAAAGGTTCCTTATTTGCGTTATACAAAAAAAATAGATGATGAAATCTGTTCATCTATGTTGTGGAAAACATGTATTTTATTAGTGTAATTATGGTTGTCAGTTGCTATGATGTAATGGACTAGGCTTAATCATGTGTCTGTATGTTTACTTGTAGGAGAGAAATGTGTATATATGCATAGAAACGAAATTCAGATTTTCTACATAGTGCTAATTTGTTTTCCAGCCTAAATTTCCGGAATTTTTAGTCTTCTTACCAGCCACTTTATGCCAGAAGTCTTTCTTCAGCAAACAGAGTTGTTTTTCTCTATTTTAGACCAGTTCAGCACATTTCCGGCCAATTCAGCCTTTGCTTCAGTCTGTTTCAGCCTATCTCCAAGCAAGTCCAGCAAATTTCAGGAGAGTCCAGTCCATTTCCATTCCACTTTACATGTTTACAAGGCTGGTTTGTTTTTTTTGGCAGGTTTGTACCAGTTCAAAGACGGTTCCTTCTACCCTTTCAAGCTGATCTTGGATAGTTTTAATGTTGTTGGACTCTCAATTGTCGTCTTTTTAATCAATCACTTTCTAACCCCAATTGTGCTTTCTTTTCAGTCAGTTTCGACACTTCAATATCTTATCCTTTTGTGCATTTTCTCACTTGACTTGTTTAAATGTTACTAGATTTTCAATTAATTTGTGGGTCATTGATCCTAAGCCACATTCAAAAGTTTCAGAATGCATTTGTAAAAGGGCGTCAGATTTTGGACTCTGTGCTTATAGCGAATGAATGCATAGATTCAAGAATGCGCCTAAGGGCCCCAGGGATGCTTTGTAAGCTAGATATTCAGAAGGCTTACGACCATGTGAATTGGGGTTTCTTATTATATATGCTCAGGCGCTGTGGCTTTGGGGATAAATGGTGTAAATGGATTCAATTCTGTATTTCTACTGTTTCATTCTCAGTTTTGGTCAGCGGAACACCAGAGGGTTATTTCCGTAGCAGTAGAGGCTTGAGACAAGGGGATCCATTATCCCCTTTGTTATTTGTCATTGTGATGGAGGCTCTCAGTAGGATGATTGAAAGAGCAGTGAGAGCGGGTTTGATAAAGGGTTTTATGGTTGATCAATTGCAGGTGTCTCATCTGTTATTTGCAGATGACACGCTGATCTTATGTGATGCAGATGTAGAACAATTCAGGAACTTGCGCCGTCTGCTCTTATGTTTTGAAGCGGTGTCTGGTTTGAAAATTAATTTGGGAAAGTCTGAGGCTATCCCAGTTGGGGAGGTTAATAATGTCGAGGAGCTGGCTGATATATTGGGTTGTAAGGTTGCGCAGTTGCCGATGTCATATCTAGGACTCCCATTAGGGGCACGATTTAAAAGTACCCATATCTGGAATGGTATTGTAGAAAGGATGGAGAGAAGGTTAGCAGGGTGGAAGCGTATGTACCTTTCTAAGGGTGGTAGACTTACTCTCATTAAATCCACTCTCTCCAATCTCCCTACTTACTTTTTGTCATTGTTCCCCGTTCCGATAGCAGTGGCAAAGAGACTAGAGAGGCTTCAAAAAGAATTTCTGTGGGCAGGGTTGGGAGAGGAGAGGAGACTCCATTTGGTCAATTGGGGAGTTGTTTGTTTGCCGATGAGGATGGGAGGTCTTGGGGTGAGGAGCTTTGTGTTGTTCAATAAAGCCTTATTAGGCAAGTGGTTGTGGCGATTTAGAGTGGAGAGGGACAGCTTCTGGAGAGAAATAATTGGAGTGAAGTATGGTGTGACCGATGGTAGATGGTGTACATTTGAGGATCGTGGTTCTTATGGGGTGAGCTTGTGGAGGTATATCCGACGGGGATGGAGTGCATTTTTGGACAAACTGAAGTTTGTGGTTGGAAATGGTAATGAGATTAAATTTTGGGATGATTGTTGGTGCGGAGATCAACCGCTGAAGGAGAGATTCCCTTCCTTGTATCGTATTGCCTCAGTGTCCACTGCCATGGTGAGTGATTCCTTAGACATTCATAATGGGAGTTATAGCTGGAATATAACTTTTGGGAGGGATCTTCAGGATTGGGAATTGGAAGATTATTCGCTATTTATGACCATTTTACATGAGACCCAAATCGGGTTGGAGAGATGGATTGCATCAGTGGAGGACAGCATATGATGGCATTTTTTTCAGTTTGCTCGTGCTTTGGTTCTCTCATGGGATGTGTGAATAATTCATTCCCATGGAAGCTGGTTTGGCAGTGTAAATTGCCTCCTCGGGTGGCATTCCTATTGTGGACAGTTGTGAGGGGACAGGTCTCAACGGTAGATAATCTTCGTCGTAAAGGTTTTTATGCAACCGAGTGGTGTTATATGTGCAAGAAGGATGGGGAGACGATTGATCATTTGTTCATTCATTGTGATGGTGTACGTTGGATTTGGAACAGTATAATCAGTTCACAATCTATGGATTGGGTGATGCCTCGTCGTATAGAGGACGTGATACGGGCATGGCGTAGAAAACTTCGGGATAAGGATAGCAAATTAGTATGGCACCTTATCCCGGGCTGCATTGTTTGGTGCGTGTGGAGAGAAAGGAACAACCGTTGCTTCGAAGACCAAACAAAGGCAAGAGAGCAGATAAGAGAAACATTTTACTTTACCTTGTATTCTTGGTTTAATGCTGTGGCTACAAATCCTGTAGATGGGTTGCCTAATTTCATGTTTTTCCTTAATAGCTTAAAGTGATTGTACACCCCCCGTGTACTCTCTTTTAAGTAATAAAATTATTTGATTACCTATCAAAAAAAAAAAAACTTGTTTGTTTCTTATACCTCTTGTTAAGGTAGACAAAACAGTTGAAGTTGCAGTTGCATCACTCTCATCTATTGGTGAAATATAGTGCATTCCTACTTCAAAATATCTTTCACTGGACTTCACTCTACACGTTCTGAAATTGTCTTGCAATCTTCTTTCAATTAGCAAATCACTTTAAGTTTTTCCCTGAGGTGATTAGTACAGGAAAGGAGATCGATAGACTTTACTACTTCAAGGTTAAATCTAATGGATCAGGTAATCCATCTTATGCACACTTAAGTTCTTCTTACTCTACATTAAATCAAGAATTTTATCTCTGGCATAAAATGGGTCACGCAAACTTTACTTATTTGAAAAGGTTTCCTTCTTTGCTTCAAAATAATTATATCCATGATTTTCATTGTGAAGCGTGTGAGTTATCTAAACACCATCGAACTCAATTTCCTTCCCAAAAATACTAGTCAATAATCTATTTCCTTGGTACATAGTGATATGTGGGGTCTTATGTATCAACAACATTTCTGCTGCTAGGTGGTTTATTACATTCTAAATGATCATACTTGAGAGTATTTGCTCAGGGAAAAATCTGAAGCAGCAAATTTATTGAAGTGTGTGAGTTGAGATTGGAACCTAAAAAGATATACTTTATATTACTGAGATTGCAAGATCTAAAAGGGGGATAGTTTTGTCATAGAGAAGGTATGCATTGGATCTCTTAAAAAACAGGTATGCTAGGTTGCAAACCAGGAGATAGTCCAATTGACCCGAAACATAACTTGGGAACTATTGTCGACAGTGCTATAATTGACAAGGGGCAATACTAAAGATTGGTTGGTAAGCTCATATTTGTCTCACAGTCACCTTAGGCATCCTTGTGAATCCCATATGGGAGTAGTTTTAAAGATCTTAAGGTATTAAAAGGAACACCTAGAAATGACTTACTTCTCCTGAAGAACTATCATCTTCAAGTAGAAGTTTATGAGGATGCTGACTCGCCAGACTCTATAGAAGACAAATATTATCCGGACATTGAACATTTATAGGAGGAAATCAAATTACTTGGAGGATTAAGAAACAATCCGTGGTAACAATATCCATTGCTGAAGCTCAGTTTAGAGCAATGGTGCAGGAATATGTGAGTTGATATGGTTCAAGACATCATTCAAGGAACTAAGAGTTACTGAGACACAAGCGATGAAGCTATATTCTATAGTAAAAAACTGCCATAAACATTGCTCACAATCTTGTTAACCTGATAGAATTAAATATGTTGAAATTGACATACTTTTTACTGATGAGAAGATTGAAAGTCATCAGATTTGTACTCCATTTGTCACTATTAGTGCTACTAGCAGATGTTCTTACTAAAATGATGTGTCATCCTATGTTTCTTTCATGTGTTAGCTAGGAATGATACAGTTGACTAGGCTTAATTTTAGACTTTCATGTCTGTATGCAGATTACTTCACAAAGCACGTCAAGATAGTTAATTGTAGGAGACGAATGTGTGTATATATATACCAGTCCCTTTGTAATGTTTGGGATATACAAATGAAATTTAGAAGTATCCAATACTAACCAAACTGCAGTTCACCAGTACAACTTAGATTATTGATAGAAGCATATTACTAGTTCAATTGCACAAGCTTCAACCCAGGGAGGTATAAAAATTGATAAGTGGATTTATTTTGATAGAAGCATCAGTTATGTGTGAAGCCACTTAATGTTCCTAGTTATGTATAAGATATTCAAGACACTTGAACAACCCTACCTCTGCAAATAGATTATTCGACCAAAGGTAAGAGATTATCCAGTCTCATGCTCCCACTTAGCAAATATTTCTCACTTGTAGGCTCTTATCTTGACAAGAAAAAGAATAACATATGATGTTCTGTTCCAAAACTAAAAAAATTGACATCCCCCAAATGAAACTCGTGCTAAAGGTGAAGCCCAATAGCTGTCCAAGAGAGAAACAACTAGGAAGATCCTTCATTTGGAGGAAAAATAAAGATGTCTTCAGGTGGGAAGGACAATTAGAGAAGACGTTTTCATAAACATTCAGTAAGGATATATAAACATCAATTGAAGCAAGGTTGGGTCTAGCTCTTGTCTTAGCAGAACAACTGGATCTGGCAGTTAAACATAAATTAATCTATAGGTTCTATCATGATTCTTTTTCATAATAGTAAGGCATATCATATGCAAGACCTGATTTCACTACTTTGAAAAGCAAACAATCACCTGGAAATGACGGGACTTTGCACCGAGAAATAAAGAACAGTTAGCAGCCCCACACAGACAGCGAACAGTGGCTCCACCATACCATTCATAATTATAGTCATATGAAAGTTCAGTTCCCACAGAAATATCTTTTTTTGCGAATATCCCAACCCTTGTTTCCCCCAGCACAACCCACTTTCTGGTCTCACAATTTGGTTGACTGCAAATTCCAGAAAAATGATGAGCCATTTGTTTATGTGCTGAACAGCTTTAGTTCATTTCAATTTCAATCATCTTATGTGCTGCTCGATTTACCATGAATGATTTATAAATCTTGCTAGGCTTCCTTTCTTCGTAGCGTCAATTAAACAACTTGCACTTTGAGAAATTATGTATGCATCTTTAATACCTGCATTACATAATCCATGGAGGTATAAGTGATTCTCAGCAATGATAAATTGAAACAAATATTAAAAAGTGATACTCAACCTTGAGCTTCATAATTTTGGGACCTTTGCTTAGCTTCTTCTAATGAGATTATTTCTCCACAATACTCAATGATGAACTGTCCAGCCTTAACATACAGAAACAACTGCTCAGTTAACATGAAGTTAATTTGTCTATGAAGCTTTATTAGATGTCTAACAAAATTGAGAACTTCAAAGATTAGATAAATTATGGAGTTTTTTCTAAACTATAGTACAACCAACTATATTGGCTCATGTTATTGTATACCATAGATAATATTCAATAGAAACACACATGGTTTTCCACTATACATAGATAAATACGACAAAGAAATTGCTAGAAGCAAAAAAAATGTTTATTCCATCCTTAAACCAGAAAATATCAAACAAAACAAGCATAAAAATGAGAGGGATTCAAATGGGTTACCTTTATAATCTCATCAGCTAGAAGCCCCCAACCATGCCCTTCAGTTTTAAACAACTTAGTTCTTGCATATTCACATTTCTGAAATTTCTGTGAATAGAATATGACAAATCAAAATGAAATCCTCCAGATTATTGCATAAAGATTGAAAAAATGATTTAACGTATATGTGTAATTTCTATATGTTATGATCCCCAAATTATATATTTAGCCCAAAGAAGCAACAAACAATAGGGTGTCATTGAAAGGTCATCCAAAAAATTCAACGAACAGTTTTACACACTTAGAAGTTAATGTTCAAGTAAACGATTGTGCATGAAAATTACCAAGTAGAGGAGGAAGAAATAAGAATATAATCAAAACCAAGGTTCTTTTATACAATGTACATGCTGTGACAGAGCCTGGGATCGCAAAATCAAACCATAAGAAGACAGATCCAAACTATTACTGGCATCTGGGGTATAAGGTAGCTGCTCTACCGCACAAAAGGAAGAGGATGGAGTATAGACATGTGGCAAAACATATACTAGAGTAAGCTGTAAAGATACTGAAGCAATTGAAGAGCTCTATCGATGATGATAAAGGAAAGAAGAGAAAAACAGCAAGACATCGGAGAACGGAAAGTAGATGAGGCAATGAAAAAAGCAACATTTAAAAAGATCAAAATATCTGCAAACTATCCACATCATAATGACAATTGAAAATGTCAAACGTAGAGAGAAAGCCATTATAACTCAAGAGTACAGATGGAAAGCATAAAAACTAGAGAGAGAAAAACCATAATAACTCCTGTAGATGAAGAGTCCATGGAAACTTCTGTAATGCAAAATGACCGGGTAGCATAGATATCTATGTTAATTGACCCTCGGCGTGTTTTAATGTGTGCTTGAGGTTTCAGATCCAGGTTAAATGACCAAATAACATAAAACATCAATGTTATATGGACTAATGATCACATGGCTTAAATCACCTATGTTGAATGTGACTTCAGTATGGACATCAAGTGATCACGTGCTTTAAAAAGGTAATAGCCCATTTTGATTACCTAGCCCTAAGAGCCACAAAACATGACAAAAATACAACTGATACTCCTCTCCTTGGTCTCCTCATCTTCTACCCATCTCAACCTTTTCAAAATGTACATAAGATAATGAAGAAACACATCTTATAAAGTAGAGCTAATTACTTCAGCCAAACATTATGCCTGCTCTGAGACACCGAATTGTAGAGTAGTATTATTCTCATCAATAAGATGCAGAATTCTTAGATGTTGAATCTGTAGTTTAGTTTAAAACTTAGCCCTTGTTTGTCTACCATTCTCCACAAACTCTTCTTCCCTTATTTATTTATTTATTTATTTTGTTTAAACTCATTTTCAACCACACATTCTCACAATAAAATATTTTGCACGTAAACCCAAAGTTTTTTCCTACCTTTTAACTACACATTCTCCAAAAAACTCACTACTCCAAAACTCATTTTCCCCAAAAAAAAACTCTTTTTAATGGGCATTGAACAGGGGCTTAGGCTGTACAAATAACCAAATTTCCATTGTGTTACATTAATGATATTCTCTAATCCTTATGGTGTTAAGTTTAGCTCTAAACTTTCAACAATATTCCGAACCAATTATTGAATACCACAAACAAACACAGTATCTGTATAGTTTATGTTCACCTGATTCCTGCAATGTTCCCCGCAAGGGCAGTACCCAGCTGTGCACTCTATGCTGGTTAGTACATTTAAACACGTTTCTCCACATGCACTTTCAGGATTGATTCCATCATACATGCACTCGCAAATGGCAATATCATCTTCTTTCAGTTTATGTCGTCTAGAATACAATGAAAAAATCATCCATCATCTAGAGCTTACAAAAGCTAGTCCATGAATAATCATTATAGTTATAGAAATTTCTTCAACAACACAACTTTCTAGTAAGAGCTAAAAAGAATAGGAGCAGACATCTAAGAGGGTATTGCTCAAAAAAATCAACTCAAGAGGAAAAATCAGATCGCACAGATCGTTCTTTTGAGAATACACTCACCTTTCTATACACCTCAACATCATAATACTAGCAAGAATTATGAGTAAAAGAATGATACGTTCATTCCATATGTTTTTCTTCAAATGATATTGAATTTATTTATTCCAAACTATACTTATAATAACAGAACTCAAGAGAAGTTTTTAGCTATGACTTTGAATGGAATCCTGTTCTTATAATTACAATAATAACTAACTGCACGTCCATATAATCACGTAAATGAATAATGATCTCACTCTTTTGTTGAAAAGCATATTTCTTGAATTCTTTCAAGTAATTTAAAACAGAAAATTATTAATTTCTGCTTCATGTCAGGAAAAGATGAAAATATACCCAAGTAAAGAGAGAGAGTAGGGATAAATTGGTTTGTTGATGACAAAGGAGCAAAATGAGAGAAGTAACAAGGGGAAAAAGCAAGCAAATGAGAGTCTTTTACTAACACAAGATGTCATTTTGAATGGAACAAAACCAATTGTTCACAAAGAAGGAAATGAGTATTGAATTAAGAAGAGTAAGATGGTTTCCAGTATATAATTATCTGAAAAGAAATCAACAGCGACAGGACATACAGCATGAGAATATTGGTAGATTAATTCATGTAAAGAACTAAATATACAAATGCAGACCAAGATGGATGTCTGACTTTTCACCGTTGGAAGATGGACCATGCAGCAGGGTGAGCATCAAAAACAGACGAAATGGTGCATGTTTGCACCACTTTTACACAAATAAGGAATAACTATAATGATTCTATCCTGCATGTACCAACAAATAAAACTTCTCTACTTCTTGTACTACAATATTTTATCCACCTGAAGCTTTTTACAAATTAGGTATCCAATAAGCACAAGTTCCAAAAATAAAATAGGTATAAACCTAAAAGTATTGCATTTTATGAGAAATATGCCCATTAGTTTACTAACTGCTGTTTTGCAGAATAAAATCATAAAATATGAACTCTAAAATGTTCTTCACAGGTCCTTTTCCTCTCAAGTGTAATTATATTTGCATATTTTTCCTTGCCATTGTGATCAAACTCTCAAAGTTCTCGGAGTCCAAACGATGTCTTAAAAATGGACTTCACTCCTTTGAAAACAATATCACATGCCATTCAACATTATATCCATATCAACCTTCTTTTTCCACATGAAAACCTACACAACATTCCTTACCAATTAATCATAAAAACCTATTCACCAACAAGAGATCCTCAATAAGGAAAATAAAGGATGATTGCTTACTTTAGGCCTAAAAAATCATTTTCAGAAATTTGTATAAATGGCGCTACTCCTTTTGGTAGGTGAACCTTCAAAATGATAAACATAATGTCATTGGAGAAGTATAAACTTACAAGGCATCGTAAGAATAGCAAAAGCATAAATAAAACATACTCTCCACAAGCTATAAAATAATTAGATAAAACATTCATCCTGCAAACGGTGACTACCAAGTTAGTGAGCAGAGGCAATATTTAAAGCTCCTAGAATTATAGCTAATGCTGAACATACTGGACTAACTAAAACATAGACAATGCCTATTGACAAAATAAAAAACATACAATACAATATGAAATCTTGAAAATACAAAATTTCCCTAGTCCTCGATGAGATAGTGATGCAAGATACCTCACGTAATGAAGCGTGAAAACATGGAATTCACCAACAACCTTCTAATCACTCTTAATTCACTCATGAATACTAGAAATTTAGGTTTCTAATGCTTACTTTATTCAATTTAAATACTAAGAATTTGGACTTGTTGATTCACATAGAATTTCAAGAATTGGACATATAATTGAGAACATTCACTTTATAAGTCTCATTGACACAACATTAAAATTCTATTATAGGTGTAAAAGGAATCAAAACAATTGTGGTTTACTTCTATTTTCTTCACGTCTTGAATAGACTTTTTAATGCTATATGCACCACGCTTCTTTCAGAAGTCCCGAACGGTCTTACTTATACAATGCAACAAAATCATACAATAAAAGGAAGTCTCAAAATACTATAGTAAAAATTTTAATCAAAAATATTAATTTAAAAACTATGATATGAAAAACCTTAATCAAAGAGAAAATACTATAAGCAAAACCTAATTCAAATGTAAAAACTAAGATAAGCAAAACCTTAATCAAATGGACAAATCTAAAATTATGATAAAATACTAAAATCGTAACACTGCCAAAATAATCCCCAATTGCATAATTAAGATGCATCGAATAGGTGGACGAGCGAGTATAAAAATTATAAATCATGAACATCAAAATGGAAACTGAACGAGCCTTTTGGAGACGGATCTGGCTTCGATGTGACATTTTGAAAGATGGAGACTTATGGATTACTTTCCCTTTCTTCTTTGAATTTTCCTTATCCATCTCTCTCCCTCTAGTGTGCAAAGCCTAAAGAAAATAGTAACTAATTTACCCCTCTACTTAATAATTCAATGTATATATTGATGACGGAGACAATTAAATTAACTACCACAATTATAGAGAGAAAGAAGACACGGGAGAAAGGAAGAGAGGAGTGAGAGATGAGAGATGAGAATCAGGGAAGATTGAGATCGGGAAAAGTTTGTAATTGTACTCAATGAAAAAAAAATCTCTATTATAATCCATAAACCCCTTTATCCTGGATTTTATGTACTCCAATTTAAGTAAGAAATAACTAAATAAATAAAATAAATATTAAAAATTCTTTGAAAATAAACCTCAATTGTTTTTCCTAAAATAGGTATCTAAACTTGGTAATCTTTAATAATATATTATTACACATCTCCACCATATATCCTGAACCAAACTCCGAAGGGAAACATGGGGATAAGAAGCTCTTCTTAACATTGAAACAAGTTCAGGTAAATTTGTAAGGTAGAATGAAAGAAGACAAAAGGAAAGGAAGCGGCTTGTCATAAGTGAACATTATGTGTCAAGTTTTAGTGTCAAATATGTTCTTTTAGGGTAACTATGCTAGTATGCTATGGAATTTATACTTCTTTAATATCAGGTAGATTCAATGTCACATAAAATTAGGTTGCACCCCATAATACACATGAGAAATAAATCTATTCATCAAAAAGATCATCGAGGTAAGAAAAATAACTAATAAAACTTCAAAATGGAGAAGGCATTCCTTCAAAGGAATTTACTTTATTTAATAGAGTTCGGGGCTGTAAATTCCCTAACAGTTGATATCCATCTTGATATTTTTGGAATCTTTAAGTTAGAAAATAGGCACCCCATATCCTGGACAAAAATGCACAACGAAAAAAGGAATACCATTTATATGTGCCGAGGAAATAGAGAGATTAGAATTTTCTCTTTTTCAGGTAGGGACAAGTTTATCTAGAAAAGTCACTTTTCCCAACAAGATATTCCAACTATATCAATAAATAATGCTCTAACATTAGCAAGAACACTTTCAGAAGACCACATGAAATTAAATCAAGCATCTTGCTGCATTTAGAGAAGCCAAAAGACCATTTGAACATGTTGGATCTCGCATCAAGTAAACACCTGGATTAATTCCAGATGTTCAATCCCCCATTTTGCTAGATAAGGTACATGAAAGAGGAGGTCCAGGTGGCAGGAAATGACTACATTTAACATCTCACAAAGGACTAGCTAAGCATGCCATAGTAAAAAAAAAAACCAACTCAGAAGAAAGCATCTGCTTAGTAATTTCCAGATCTTACTGGTTATTTTACCTTTTAATTGGACGGTGCACTTGCAAGGGAGAATCCAGCAAGTTGAATCTACCATTCTATAACACAAGTCTCCATGTACTTGCCAAAGACAGAAAACACTCAAAACAAAATTTCATTTTTAAACTGGCAAAGGAAACTACTGAAAAATTCATCAAGATGAAAAGAACAAATAGATAGAATTTGGACATAACCCAATAAATAAATGATTAACTTCAACAAATAAAAACTTAATTATGGTGTCAATATTTTCACACAAATAATTCACACATTATAAACAAGGTAGTCATGAAACACAGATAAAGAGACTCCATCACTCACGGATGTAGGCCATGGTCTATCCAATGCAGTCTCAGACACATCAGATACCATCTTTCATTTGATCAAGACTTGATTCATAAGGGAAATCAAGCAGTTGACCCCTTCACCTTCCTCGATGATTACACGCTTACAGACATGATATGTCTAGTGTTAGAGGTCTCTACTCTACTTTTGCTACTTCTCTTTTGTATTGGAGGTGGTCCCTCCTCATTTACCGCTTTTTTGGAGGTCAATTCTATGTCTCCCTGTTATGTATTCTTCCGAGTTCCTTATATCTTACGTTTGGGGCATCCTAAACACCGTCATCCTACAATTTTATTCACATACTTGTAAAATCCAAAACTTATTACTCACTTATCCATACATTCCATATGAACCACAGCTTAAAAGCACTACTAAAAAATAACAAATATGCTTATATCAAAAAATTAGTAAAGCATATATTAGTGTAAAAAACCAAAGATGAAGTAATCATAGTCATTGACATTTACTCAGGACAATGTCCAGTGTGTATGCTCCAAGTGCTATCAGATGAGATATTAAGCATAAGAACTGCATGAAGCCTGAATGAACAAAGAAGTTGAGGTTCAATTTGTCCAATTTCGAATTCCTCCTGTGTATGAGTATGATACCAAAAAAATTAAGAACTGGAACTGATTCTACTGTAGAAGTATCAAATTCCTTCTATGAAATTTCAATGTAAGGATGGGGCAAGCAAAGTAAAACTAATAATCTACTGCAAAGAAGAGAGACATCCTGTTCTTTCAGCCCACTCTCCAACTCATCAAAGCCTTAGCTTTACTTATTTGTTCAGCCAAATAGATCCTCTTCTTCTGCTCAGCTCACAAAAGACTGTTCAACAATTTCCGTGTGATAAATGAAATGAAAACACCAGAAATAGCTTCTCTCTGCCACTTAAAACGCTTGTTACAAACAAATCCTTATTTTTTTCATCAAAAAAGGAACTAATTATATATCTTCATATTCAAACCCTTCTTATACCCAGATTTACACTGTCATCGGCACCATTAACCAGGATTCTGAGCAACTTGATGGTGAAACCAATGTTTTCAAAATTAAATATTCAAAATGCAGCTTCTTTTTTGTTGTAATTATTATTGATAAAATCAAAGGATACCTGGAACATGAAAGACTTGTCCATATTACAAGCACAATGATAGGCATATAAGTTTGTCACAACCAAGTCATTTATTTCTTATAATAAATCTGTAGTATTTTGTCTTTGTCAGCAACAACGAAGACTTGTTTTCCATGCAACTTACCCACTTTAAATAAATCATGAAAAATCTAGGATATGTTTGGCTCTTTGTACCAACAAAGACATCTGATTTCTAATGCACACAGGTCACATTGGTGGGAGTGGGAGGTCTTGGGGCTTGCTGCTCCTTACTTTAATCTTCCGTAGAATTCTTATAATTGATCAAATGTCCAACTTTACATTATATTGAAGTAACAGTGAAACTATAGTATCTCACCGTATATTGTCATGTCAAGAAGCGGAGATAAACCCTTCATAATACATCAGAAACCTACTGGAGAGCTTGAAATGTGCTCTTTGATATCTCGAAGGCACAACTAAGGAAGGCCTTTGCTTCTCTCCTCCTTCAAAACTTGGTTGGATTCTTGGATGTTGACCTGTCATGTTTGTTGATAATCAATTAATTAGTGGTCATCATATTTTCCTAGACTCCAACTTAACATCTTGGAGTTCTTAAAAGCACACTTTCATTGCTCACTCCCATAAAAAGTGTTTTAGCCAACAGCACATCTAAGCTCACATGGACCAATTACAAACTCTCCCAGTCTTTCACGATCGCGCTAAACACATTGAGATAAATGTACAATTTGTTCGTCATAGGGTCATCAAATGAGAGCTGCTCATTCAATTTGTTCCTTTTTTGAACAAACAAAAACTATCTTCAAGAAGCCTCTCAGCTCCCTGTGTTTCAAAAACTCAAGCCTAATTCCAGAGCCTTCTGTTCCCTTTTTGCCTTGTTTGAGCCCCATTCTTTTCATAAGAATGAATTTTTATATAGTGTATTGATAGAAAATGTGTGGTTAAAAAATAAGGAAAAGTTTGGGATTTGCGTGTAATATTATTTTATTGAAGTATGTGTAGTTAAAATGATGTCAAAATACTGTTTAAAAATGTATTTTTTTCAAAAAAATGAGACTTAAACAGGGGCTTTATGGATTGATATATATGCAAAATGATACAAATTTTAGGGCTTGGATGTCTAAGCCTACACAATTCCTGTTGGGTATTCTTCCATCTCTTGTACCTTATCCTTGCACCTTATTTCCATCATTTTTGTGTAACTTAAATATTTTTACAATTTGGTCATTTCGTATATATTTGTTAGTTTGAGTAACAGAAAAGCTAACGTGCAATCTATTCAGAAACCTTTTACGTTAAACCAATTGATCAATTGTAATAAAGTTCAATTTCAATGATCAACTTGAAACAAACCAAATATAATGATCAATATGGAAATAATTCTACATATTTAGATTTAGTGACCACCAGTGTATTTGGCTCCAAATAGGCACTTTTCAACATAAATAAATAAATAAATATATATATTTCAGAAAAAAGAAAGATGAAATTGATCCGGTACTCCAAACTTGAAATATCAAAGCAATATTAATGCATGAGCAAAATGGAAATTGAAATTGAAATTGAGCATAAACAAATTTAAATAAACAAGGGACACATTTATACCTTCTCGAATTTGAAGAAGATCACTTTCGCGGGCTTGCGGCAGTGCTGGGAATTTTGCAGACGGTGGTCTGTAGTGGGGTGGCCAAGGAAGACGGTTGTGATAGCAGGTATGGAGTCAGTTTTCTTCAATATATTGTTTCCATTTTTTATATTTTATTTTGATTCTTACCGTGATTTTGAAAATTAATTTTTTAATAATTAGAGAAAGAAGTGAACTTTATTTGTGATTGATTGTAATAGTAAAATAACGATAGAAAAATTAATTTTTAGGATAAAAATTACTATCAAACGAAACTTAATCTTCATAATATAAAAAATTAAATAAATAAAAGAATGAAAAAATAAAAGCATTTTAATCTTACAGTATGAATATTACGTCAGGACGGAACCGGGCCCATGCCATCCCAAATCTCATTTCTCTCTTTTTTAATCTATTTTCTTGGAAATAAATGAAGTTGTAATTCTTCCATTGCATTCCATGGTTTCATTTTTATTTTTTTTATTTTTTATTATTATTATTATTTTTTTTTGTAATTGAGGTTATTACTTTTATGGTAGAATGTAATTAATCGGTGAAGTAATATGTCATTTCGAAATTAGGTCGAATTTGTACTTCTCACGATCAAATCTACAAGAAAATAGTTATAATCAGTTGAATACGACATTTACACTTTATCTAAAAACAAATTTTCTTTTATAAAGTCTCATCAATCTTGAAAGTTGATGTTTGAATTCACTACGTCATATGATAAAATTTGTCTGTAAAATCTAACGGGTGTTTGGCTCCCATTCTTGGCTAATTTTAAAGGATGAAATAGTGTTTTTTAAAAAATGTGTAGTTGAAAAAAAAATGAAATTTTTTTTGATTTGTGTGTAATATTATTTTATGAAAGATTGTGTGGTTAAAAATAAGATATAGAAAAAGAATGAGATAAGAATGAGGACCAAACATGGGCCTAATGTATAATATCTAGGAAATGATAATTGTATTTTGCCAATTATTTCGTTTCATTCTAGCAATCTTCTCCTCTTCCTGAACAAAGTTTTACTTCATTTTTAGCAAATTTTGGAGGGAAGATGACGGAGCAGTGTACGTTGTTTATATCCAATTAGCTGCGACAGTGATAGATACATTATCCTGAGTGTTACTCTCGTGTTTTTCAATTAGAGGATGTATTTCATTGTACATAGAGCTGAGTTCAGCACTGACTTTAACTTTTAGCTCCTGCAAAATTGTACAAGCAATGACCAACAAGTGTTAGAAGGAATAGGGCTAATTGAAGAAAATATACAAAGTCGAAAATATAAAGTGTAAGAGACAAGACATGGTTCATTTGTATTTTTATGTTGACTGTCGAGAATCTACTTGAAACATATCTACCAGAGAGAAGACGCTCGTGACAAAATGACTTAATCGGGATTTGCAAAACTACAACTTAAATATAATTAGGAACAGACCAAATCTCGAAAATGCTACTATGCTCTCCGCGCAGACAATCAACTAGTTATGTTGAAATATACGAGAGAACCATAATTCACACAAATTCTGAAGAAAGGGCAGGTTGTTATCCTCATTGAATCCTATATCCAAGGTACAGACACAAAGAATAAACTAAGTAAGCGACGTCATTTCACTATAAAGTTACACAACAAACTTAATTGCTTGTACCTCATATTTGGTTATGAGGAAATTACACTAGAAGTAAGTTTTTGGATTTGTATATACAAAAACGTCACTTTTTAAAAGTTTTTACACAATTGTCAATTTCGGACATTTTTACCCCTCTAAATAATTTAAATACTTTATATGTTCTTCATTAAATGAGATATGACTCGATGAAAAATTGTACAAAAACTGTGTAAATGTCAAGAATGAAATGACTTAATTTTGGAATTAAAAAAAAAAAAGAAGTTGGAAAGAAAATAAAAAGAAGAAAAAAAGAAATCGAATAATCTACCATTGAAAACGGTCGGTAACCTTTCACTCCCATCTCTCATTAGAATCGCCTACCGCCTAGTCATCGACAACCACAGTGAAAGCGTTCACCGTCAACAATGACCACGACAAATTACGAACTCAATCTATCATCCAAACACTCACTAGCCCTAAATTCACTCCCTTATGTCATTGGAATCTGCCAAAGTCGAGCACTCACTTCTCTCTGTCATTCGAATCGTCCAACGCCCATCTTCAATTAGTCCATCGTCGACGAAGACCATCATTAATATCTTAAGGTTTGGTGTTTTCTTTTCTTTTTGCATTTTCTTAAAAAGATGAAAATTTTCTAAATACTGTTTTGACCTAGTTTCTATCCAAAAGAAAAACATAGGAGACAATGTTAAGACAAATGATAATTTCGAAAATAATAGAAAGGTAACATGGATAGCAGAGGTTAGGCTTAGGATAACGACAATAGCACGATGAACGGAGACTTCATACCTACTTCCAACGAAGTGGGGAGACCTAGTAAAGGATATGTATATTTAAATGTAAATAGTTTTCGTAGGCATAATTTAGGATGTAATCGAGTATAAAGTTTATGAGCATTTTTTAGCTTTACTTTGAGTGAGCTTTTCCTAAAGAATGCCAGTTTGTTGCTGATTTTAGAAGGGCAGAATTCTAAAATTGTCCACTATTTATATATTGTTTGTTGCTATTGCATAATCTGTAAGTTGGTTTCTCGTTGTCGAAAAGGCATAAGAAGGTTAATAATGTGAGTAAAAGTATTGATCATGTTAAAAATATAAAGGGAAATCTTTATTTGTAGGTCCACGAAGACATACAAATCTAAATTGAATATGACACACTCTTCCCTTTTTTTTCTTGTTACTTACTGTCAGTATTTGAAAAATTCTCCAAGCCTTAAAGAATTGAAAATTAGAGAAGAGAACAAGTGAAGTCAGATTACCCTAATCTCTCACAGTAAAATGCAAGAAGCCCCTGGCCAAGTAAAGTTGCACTTCTTCCGCAGTAGATGAACAGTTGTAACAGACCTAAAATATACAACTTTACGTTGCCTTTGCTTTTATATTTTTCTTCTTGTTGCCTCTATTATCTTATAATATTTTGTAAACTTTGAAACAATATGATGTTTATTAGTTGTAATTGGAAATAATCTCGCTTTCTCTTGCAACTTAACCTTCAATTATTCAATCATCATACCCGTATATTTTACATTGCATCTCTTATGCATTTGGACAAAAATGTTCATAAGTATTTGACATATGTATGGTTATAATTCTTCTATTTGCTTTCTTTCGACAGATGTCAGAATAATTAACTAATACTTTTTAATTAAGTGTTGAAGCTATACATAAAAAATTTGGGAAATTAACCCAATGGTTTAAATTTGCTCTAGTGAAATCACTTTAAAATGTTCATACAATTTAAAGTTTTCTAGTTAAAATAAAATTTAGTGTCAAGTTCAGTGCCCAGTGTCATTATCCCATAATGAAAAGCCCTAAAAAATCAGATAATATAGAGCAGCTGAGGGCAAAGATGATTTTATAAGAAGTAACTAGCTTTTGAATAGTACCTATTTATGTATTCAACATTTACTGATACGGGTCATTTGCTTCCATCTTTGTGCAAATATTGTTTACATGTTTAGTACAAGTTGCATATAAGTAATGATGATGGATCTATTATTCGCATTTCTCACCATTATTTGACGTGAATAATGTTCATGTGATCGATTATTGACTCGGTGCTTTGAATTTTAGGGTTGTAGTCATCATCCGAAGACATTGATAATCATTCTATTTCAAACCTTCCATTTGGATCTACCAGATGAGGATGACACTTTCTTCAATTTTTAAATGGGTTTGTTTCATTAGGCCAATTTACGTTTAAACTGGTCTGAACATCTACTTGTTATGATCAACTACGCACAAATAAGCTTGGCCATTCTACATTTTGTAGTATGCATGTGTGCGTCTACATAATTACGGGTTGTTCGGATACGTCTGAGTGTCGGATAATTCTATTTTCATTCTTTAAAATGTCTTTGCATTTGTGTGTACAGTTATCGCTGAGTCATTTAACTAAGCGATAATATTTGAATCATTAAGTATAATACTCATCATATTTGTCATAACTTACCCTTCATGTCTTTGAAAATCAATATGAATGTAAAGGCGGTGTGACTGAATCATGCAACGAATCTAGTTACAAATGGCATGAAACAAGAATTACAAACTCATATCTTGCACCCCTTTTTCATTTTGCTGGTTTGGAGGTTGAAAATAGATTTCTCGACAATTCACTTCAGTAGACAGATGGCATCATGTTGAACTGTCGTTCTCGATAGTTCACCTTTGTCATTCTTGACAGATGGCTAAATATGAACAGATGAATTCAGTCATCTATCGAGATTGACCGTCCGCATCGACATATAAACTGTCCATACCGATAGTTGATGTCAGTTTTTCTCGACAATTTACCATTGCGCGAGAGATTGGTTTGGTAATCATCTGTCCAGACAATGAGCTTGGGTTCATCCAAACATTACACGTGTGTTTGGCATTAACATGTATGAAATATTATGATTTGACGATTTTTTGATTTGCTTTTGTACTTTGGCTCACATGTCCATATTGGGTTTATCTGAATGTCACACGTGTTTGGCATTAACATGGATGTATTATGATCTAACCTTTCTATTTTCTCACTGTACCTTGCAGATCAGATGGATTTCAAATTCCTCGTCCCAAAAAATGTAAGGTTATGAGCCTACATTTTACAAAGAAGTAATTTGAAGTACATAAAAATGATGATGGAGCAACGATCAACAGTGCGAAGATTTTTGCAACTCATGCCTCGGGTTCGTGTTGGCATTCTAGAAATATAATTCTCTACCCAACTAATCTAACAACTATTGTTCAGATCCGTATGCACTGATGGTTTGACGTGCAAGAGCACTTGATTAGGTTTGAATTGTCACGGGATTAAGATGTGGTCTGTATCCGGAGGCAATCAGTTTACTGGAGTTCTGGAAAAAAGAGACTCAAGGAAAAGTACTTCAAATCGATCGACAAGGTTTCATGTGCGCAACTCCAAGATATGATTCTACGGTCGTCGATTTCCCAAGCTAATCGATACAAGCTTAGCCTTGTACTAATTGTCGAATGAGTATTCAATG